GTCTTAATACATAATCACATCGCAATTATAGAAGAAAGATCAACAATTCGATTTGTCCAAAAATATATGCATATCAATTATTTGAACCAGACAAGTTTTTTGATTTAGGCAATAGGCTACATTCTGTTGTACCATTAGCTGGTCATCTCTTTCCAAACATATTGCTCAAAACTAGTAAAAATGGTGTCAGAATCAAAGGTTTGGTTAGCTTTCTCTACACTATTCACAATGTTCTCATGCTTGAATTTGAATATTCAGATGCAAAAGTTTTTGCTTTTTTTTTTTGTTTTCTTACATTTTATGCAATGCGAAAGGTAAAACGGATTGTTTGTCCTGTAACACAATTTTTCTATTTTTCACCTTTATGTATATAAATTATGTTATTCCAGTTTGATTAGCCAATTTTTTGGCTTGATATAAGTTTTAAAGTTGAAAAAGAAAACCTGTCACATAAAAACAAAAAAAAAACAAATATATATAATAATAACTTCGTTCAAACTACATCACAAAATAAATAAATACATCTTATTTCACGATTCAAAAATCACAAATGATTTACGAGAAACACATAAACGTCAATTTTAACCCCCAAACAAAAAAAAACATAAACGACAATCAACCATTTATGTTCATAAAAGAATTAGCTTTCTCGTATGCTTTATTCATATGTTTCCTAAACCGATTCACATCTAACCTAACATCTTGCTCTTTCAAATACACTTTCATTTTACTTACGTTCCAATCCATGCCTCTAAAAGCTATAGGATCTTTCAAAACCAAGTCATCTCTATCATATTTCTCTACCAAACTACTCTCTCCCACATTAATCGGATACTCAATATAGTCTAACTTCATTGCCTTAGCCGGCGATTCGTAACAAGTTTTAACCCATTCTAACCCAACCGGAACAACTTGAACAAAAACAGAACCGGGTCTAAGAAACAACAAGTGGGTTAATGCCGCACCATGAACCCCGACCATACCGTGGCTCGACTTTATAAGTTTATACGCTTCTCTCAAGCTCGTGGTTCCCGATGGTCTAAATGTGATTACCTCGAATCCAATATCTTCAAGCATCTCTTTGATCTCTTTCTCGTTCAACATCACACGACCAATGGCACCATATCGACTGACCAATATGAGACGAGGCTTGTTGTGAGTTCGGATAGTAGTTATATTTGTGTTGAAGGCTTTGCCTAATAAGTTGTGGAAGTCCACTAACGATTTGGAGTTGGTTGTTTGGTTCAAGTCAACGGTCATAGACTCGTGTGAAATTAGTCCCACAATGGCTGAAGTGAAACAATGTGTAATAGAAACATTTTCTTTGTCTAGTAATATGGTTTTGTGTTTGCTAAACTCACCTAGAACATTGATGTATTTCGGCATCCACCACTCCTTAGGATTCGTTACCACGAGGATGAAATCGCGGTCGGGGAAATACTTGTTGGCTGTAATGAAAAGCGGGATGAGACAGTCGAAGAAATCATGGTAGATGCTTCCGATGTAACCTCCGGCGCTAAAGACAATCGCCGGCGAATCATGTGTTATGTCACATGATCGGGTCAGGCCTGAGGTTAATACTAGCTTATCGATCCTTTGCATGATCCAGTTGTCTTCTTTTTTTGGGTATGGTCTGATTTTCTCGATAAGGGTTGCTGATGGGCCGAATGTAGGGTCCATGAGAGTGATAGTTCCGGTTCTTGGGTCGAGATTACAGGAGCCATTGATTGAGCAGAGATCGTAGTTAGTGTGGGATCGGTCACATGTGATTGTTGCTGAAGTACTCATCTCTTGTTGGGTCTGCTCGATTCTTCTGGATTTCCATCTTTGTTGTAACGTGCCTATATAGAGGAAACTTCTTTTTTAAGCAAAGGATAATAATAGTTAACATTTGTATTGTAGTCGAATTTTAAAGTTGTAAAGATTCATGTTTTTTTTTTTTTTGGGACTAATCTCAACTGGAAAGAGAAAGCTAAATTAATAGTGTCAAGTCCAAAAAAAACGAAAAAATAAAATCAGTATATAGATTACAGAAATATTGAAAATAGAAGCCAAGTGTGAGACTAGCTAGGTTGGTAAAAAAAAACCAGCCTGAGTACTATTAAAAGAACAAAAGAAAATTATTAAAAGAATCACATTTCTCCCTTTAAGAGGATTTTTAAGTTATAAACACAATTGTTATTTATCAAAACAATCTCATGGAAAATAAAACAAATATTTGATCCGATCAACACATCGTATCATATTATTTTTGAAAAACATTTTGATATATTAGTGTTGTCTTTGTGTTAGCAATATTCGAATCTGAAACCAGTAAAGTATATGTGAGTTATTCCCAAAAAAAAACTAATTCTTTTTAAAATTAATTACATTCAATACTAATATTGTTATTCCTTAAAAAAAAGAGAGAGTTTGATCACGCTTTCTATACAAGAAGACGTTTTTGATATTTGCATACCTTGAGAGAAACTTAGTGAACGAATCAACCAAAGGTCGGACACGTAAGAGAAGAGAGCAAGATACATAACAAGAACGATGACCAACAAGAAAAGAGCCACCGAAAAACTCTTCGACGTCGTTTTCAAAACCATGATGATTCTTTTCTTGTTGGTCTTGTGAAAAGTATATAGAACTCTTTATATATATAGATAACTGTATCAATGTTCTATAGATTAAAGTTTAATAAAATATCATCCTTTAAAGCTTTAAGAATAATTCAATGGAAGAGAAAAGAAGAAAGTTTTTTGCAAAGTCTTTAATTGGGTGAAGAAGAATCACATATTTGCAAACGAGAGTGTGAATATATATAACTCTCCTACAAAACTCCTCTGCTTTGATTGCCTACCGTTAGACTAAAATATATATTTAATTATCTAAACTTTTAACAAAAAAAAAAATAACAATCTTTATTAGCGTATAAAGAATCTTGAAAACAAGAAATGATGATGCATGGGAATACTTTAATAGAACACATATAAGAAATAATAATACTTCTCTAATGGAGTGTACGTTAGCTGTTTGTTGACTTTTTTTGGTCTGTTGTTGTTTTGCTTATCATAATAACTTCGACATATATGCTGTTTTAAGATCTTTTTTATTTACAAAGCAAAGAAATAGGTTTTTTTAGTAATTAAGTTTATTGTGTTACTCAACATGATTATTCTTTTCCTCTTCGTGATCGTGTTCTCGACTTCTTTCCAGTGTCGTCTCAACATGATTATTGTTTTCCTCTTCGTGACATCGTGTTCTCGACTTCTTTCCAGATGTTATGTCTTGAACAACGATAGTGTGAGAGTCTTGTATATAAAAGTATTTCATATTATTTTCAATTTGTATAAGTAAAAGTATTTTAACTAAACTATAATTAATCCATATTTAATTTCACTCTATTTCAAATCCTATTTAATTTAACCTCAGTTCATAAGCACGTACCCGCATAAACTGAGAAAATAATGGTGAATTTGTTCAAACTACAAAGG